TCAGAAATGACAAGAACTGAGGAATCTCCGACAAGTGATTTGAACTGAATTTTTTTTATCTACCAGGCTGCTTGCCAAACCCATATGTCAACTTCATTTGCCTATTTAGGTGATAACTCAACAGACCTGTTTACTATTTTCGAAACTACGCGACAGTCGTCCTCAGCCCACAGCTCTGGTGCCAGCAGCGTGTCAACAGCGTTACAGCGAGCCAGAAGCACATCAAGTAACCAAAAAAACCTTTCTCGAACTGTTACATGAAAAACCTACAAACTACTCATTAAACGCAATTGCAGTCAAGTATCACACAAGTACCGTGACCACGTCAGTTTCTCCGCATCGCGTTGTCCAGTCTACCATAAAGCCATCAGAATTGTCAGAATCTACGCAATCTACAGGAAAAGGTAGAAGGCTTAACCTGTACTACTGATGATTGAAGGTATGGAATGAACTTTGTGATATGGTTTGTTCCAGCAGTAGGTAGAGCAACAGTGGTTACAAGGTCTGTGACAATACCGCCACCGATCCCTGTATACATCGCTAGTGTCACCAACGAATCCGCATCAGTGAAACCATCTGAAACTGCTACCATAAGTAAGGAATTGGGGCTCGTTCTATCAACTGTCTCACGATCGAAAGATAGAACCTGTTGCTAAAGCCTTTTGCAAGCACATTTGCAGGCAAAAACCATACTCCCTCTGTCGCTTCATCAGTTCCTTCGTCTCTCAGTACGCACTCAACCGAGGACACATCAGGGCCAATTGAAGCCGAACAGCCTGCAACAAGTAATGTGTAATTTTACTTTTTTCGCTGCATAAAGTGCTCTTTTTAGTGTTCCTTGCATGTCCAGTTCCCAATACTCAAACAGTGGTGGCAAGCACTGCAAACTCCAGGCAACCATCCTTGGCCTACAGGCCTAATTTATCAAAAAGCTCCACTAGTTTGAAGCAAGAGGAAGGTAATCTTCATCTTATCTTATTCTTCTACGAATACATCTGGGTCCATAGAAGTCGAACAACCTGCAACGAGTGACCAAAGGCTCAACTCGTTCTCGATTAGCAGTCCTTTTATGGAGTGCTGAGTTTGAAAA